CACCCCCGACGGACGAAGGACAGACAGGGTCAGAGACCAGAGCGGTAGCGAAGTCCAGGTGGCGAGTAGAGGCAAAGTCAGAGACAGCAGCGACAAGATCGTCAAGACTGGAGACAGGAACAGACGGGTCGGTAACGAGGGAGGCAAGGACCCGAGGAACAAGAAGACGAACAGCACGAAGGTAGTCAGACAGAGGGGGAGGCGCGATAGTGAGCGACAACGGAGGAGGCGAAGGCAAACGGGGAGGACGAGACGCGTGGGAACGAAGCAACATAGGGTGAGAACGTTGAACAGGAGAGACATGACGAGCACGAGAGGGACGGCGAGACCAGACGTGAGACGGAGGCATTGGGTCAGGAGACAAAGGAGGAGTAACAGCGGGGGAAGGAGCCGGGGACGAGTCCGTCGGAGGAAACACAGGACCGTGAACAGGAAGAGAGGAGACGGCGAGGGAGGCACAGGGGAGCGGTCAGGGAAGGGAAAGCCGAGCTGGCGAAGGGCGGACACCGGCGGCGACTGCTGCTGATGCTGCTCAACGCCGAAACCTAGACCACCAGCTGCACCACCGCTACCTCCGGTACCTCCGGTACACTTCACACCAGCACCCCCAGAACGAGAAACGCTTCCAGCGCCGGTGCCTCCCCCAAGCTCACCGGGACAAGGAGCTCTAGGATTAGCACCCTCACCAACGCCAGCACCCCTAGAGTCCACGAACGGCTGCGGTTGCGGCGATGGCTGCGGCGACGGCTGCGGCTGCGGCAGCGGTGACGGCGGCGGCTGCGGCGGCGACTGCGACGAGGGAGGAGGAGACACCGGGGGAGGGACGGGCGGCGCAGACTGCGCCGCGGGGCCACCGGATTCAGCGGACTCCTCGACCGGGAAAACTGACGGGAGGGGAGTGACGTGAGACACACCGGACGGAGCAGGACGAGGAGGGAGGAGAGCAGGGTCGACCGGGAGAGTGGGAACCAGAAATAGGGGGAGGAGAACCAGGAGACCTCGGTGAGGAAAGCGGTGGAAAGAGGAGATAGACTCATCGAAAGTGACCTCACAAGAGTGAAGGAAGCGGTGAGACGACGGGTGGTAGAAGTGCCAGGCAGACGAGTCAAGGGGGGAATCGAGGAAGACACAGGGGACGATGCGGGCAGTGAGCTTGTCTGTGCCGGAGGCACGAACGTGAGCGAGGCAGCCCTGGACGTGGAACACAGACGCGTCACCAGGGAACCCGGTCCAAAGAAGGGTCGACGAAACCTGCGGCCGCTGAGAGAGAGGCAAGAGGTTAAGCTGGTGAGCGGCGTAGCGAACGGCGAACGGCCATAGAAAATGGGGTGCACCGGCATGGATCATGGAGGTACGAGCCACCACCATGACCAAACCGATGCGTCGCTCAGCGACCCCATTCTGCTGCGGGGTGGTATGGTGTACGTCTGGGTGATACCCTCCGCACGACAGAATTGACCCAGCCGACCATAGGCGAACTCGCCACCACGGTCGTAGTGGAGACACAGCACAGGGAGGCCGCGGTGGAGGCGCGCAGCGACGAGCCACGGGATAAGAACGTGAAGCACGTCGGCCTTCCGCTCCAGTGGAAACACCGTGGTGTAGCGCGTGAAGTCGTCAACGAGCACAAAAAAGTAGCGCTCGCGATGCGGTCCAAGGACAGGGGCTGGGCCCCAGACGTCCAAGTGCAGGGTCTGAAGGGGTGCGGTGGCAGGGCGAAGCGAGGAGGAGTGAGGAGCACGGCGCAGCCGGCCCTCGGCGCAGGGCGTGCACGGCGGCGCAGGCGAGGGAGAGAGAGCAGGGAGCGACGCGGGGAGGTCGAGGACTAAACTGTGCTGAGATATGTGACGCACGCGGGGGAGCGCAGGGTGACCTAAGTGGTGGTGCCACAACAGTGACGGGTGAGTGAGCGACCAACATGAGCAGGCCGCAGCTACCTGGGTGGACGCAGGACCAGAGGAGGACTTGCCCGCCGGGGGGGGAGCAGTGTCCAGCGTAAACAGGCCAGACACAGGGTCCCAAGGAAACGTCGCAAGGGGGGCACCTGAGGTTGCCTCGGTACAGGCCGCGTACCGCTCGTGACCAGGGAACGTAGTGGTGACGCTGAGGTCCTGAAGACAGCCGACACCAACTAAGTTCCTGGAGAATGAAGGGATGTGCAGGCCTGTAAGGGAACCCGAGGGAACCGCCGGACACGGAAGGGTAGTGTAGCTGCGAGCAACTACAGGACCAGAGGAGGGGTCCGCAAGGGCGACAGCGGCAGGTGTAGCAAGCGGCGTGAGGGCGGTTTGGTCGCGGAAGAAACAGGCTGACGCACCGGAGTCTAGAGTAAAGGACAGCGACGCCGTAGTGGCAGACGAGGGAGGAGCAAGGATAGAGACTAGGCTAGACAAAGCAAGCTGTCCTGCGCCGGACACAGCAGGGGAGTCTGGATTACCCACAGGTGCTACGCCTAAGCTAAAGAACACAGAGTAATACGATCCGGAAACACTCGAAGCGTCAGCATACAGACAATGCAAGGCAGAACTAATCTGATCCATGTCTAAGTCAAACATAGGCACACCGTGGCGCAGTAGGCTGGGTTAGTCACGGAAGAGGTCGTTGAGGCGGCGGAAGCAGCGGGCGGTCGAGTGCGAGCGGCGGCACACCGTACCACGCAGGGGCCCTGTCTGCAGCTGGTTCTGGCAGCTCACAGCACCGAAGCTGTCGGTGGATGCTGAGCTACGAGGGCCACCACCACGACCACCACCGCTAGGGGCTCCTGGCCACCCGGGCGGGAGACGAGCCCACAGCTGCTGCTGCTGCTACTGTTGCAGCGGCTGCTACTGCTGCTCTGACGGCTGCTGCTTCTGCTGCTGCGGCTGCGACTACGACGACTGCCGCTGCTCCTGGGCACCAGCACCAACCCTCTCGTCAGAACCACTGTCCCCGCCACCACCACCACTAGCGCCACCTCCACGTCCTCCCTTGGCGCCATGGCGGCCCCGGCGCTGGCGCTGCTGCGGGTAAGTCGCAGGTGCAGGCGCAATCGTGGAACCTGCGGGGAAGACGTCAGCGTACGTGCACTGGGAGGGGGTATAGCTCTGAAAGATAGGGACTGCCGCAACACCGCTCGACTGAGCGATGGTGCGCTGGCGATTCTCTACCTTACACAGAGTAGTGACAAAGGTGGTCAGGGTGAGGTCGGCAGGGTGCTGACTAAGGAAGTGGTCGCGGGCAGTGGCTTGGTCAGGCAGGCGCATGGCAATGAGGTACAGGGTAGCGCAGAAGGGTGGAGGGAGGGCAGTAAGCTGAACGGCAGAGCTAGCAGCGCGGTAGCTGGTCTCTAGTGCACGGAGGTGAGTGGCGAGGTCAGCTACAGTGGGGAAAGCAGAAAGATCTGGGAAGAGCATGGGTAGGATCAAGCGGCCAGCAGAGGCGGAAGTAGGGGTAGAGTAACGCGCACCTACCGCATCGAGAAAGTCCTTGGCGTTTGCAACAGCGGTGAAGCGCGGACGCTCAGACAGGGGAAGGGCATGGCTAATGGCAAGCTGCGCTACGGCGTCGCGAGAATCCCAGTCAGCTCGAGCAAGCGCAGCAGCAGCAAAAGCCTCGCTCTCAGCAGTGGTAGGGTCAGCAGGGAGGGGATCAGGCGCAGGGGGGCGGGGGAGCAAACCATCAACGTGCATAGCCAGGGAGTGCCCATCCTGGCGCTGATCTGTCAGGTGCCGGCGGAGGTCGACGAGCGAGGCGGTGAAGTCGATCGCGTGCCCCTCAGCGTCCAAGCGAAGAACGGCGTCCGCCATCGCACAGTTTGACAGCGGCACAGCGGCTCGGCGGCGCAGCGGCACAGCAACACGACGACTCGTCGGCTCGGCGGCTCGGCGGCTCAGCGGCTAGGCGGCTCGGCGGCTCGGGTGCTCGGCGGCTCAGCTCAACGGCTCGGGGACACAGCGGCTCGGCGGCTTAGGTGACGAGGCCGGCTAGGGCGCAAGGGGTCGGCTAGGACACAAGGGGCCGGCTAGGGCGAGCGGTGCCGGCAAGGGCGCGTGGGGCCGGTAGGGGCCCGGGAGGGGGGGCGGTAGGAGCACGATGGGCCGTAGGGGCGCTAGGGGCCGGCTAGTGGCGCGAGGGGCCGGTAGGGGCGCGACAGGGCCGGCTAGGGGCGCGAGGGGCCGGTAGGGGCGCGACGGGGCCGGCTAGGGGCGCGAGGGGCCGGTAGGGGCGCGATGGGGCCGGCTAGGGGCGCGAGGGGCCGTAGTGGCGCGCGGCGCCGGCTAGGGGCGCAAGGGGTCGGTAGGGGCGCGACGATGCCGGCTAGGGTCGCGACGGAGCCGTAGGGGCGCGACGGGGCCGGCTAGGGGCGCAACAGGGTCGGCTAGGGGCGCGACGGGGCCGTAGGGGCGCGACAGGGCCGTAGGGGCGCGACGGGGCCATAGGGGCGCGATAGGGCAGTAGGGGTGCGACGGGGCTGTAGGTGCGCGACGGGGCCGGCTAGGGTCACGAGGGGCCGTAGGGGCGCGCGGGGCCAGCTAGGGGCGCGAGGGGCCGGTAGGGGCGCGACGGGGCCAGCTAGATCTAGCGAGGTACGGTAGGTGGCGGCACAAGGCGGAAGCGGGGTGGGTGGACCTACCTACTCGTGATACGATGTTAAGACTAGAGAGAACGATTAGAATGGAGAACAAGGAAGATATAGCGTTTGGGTTGTATCCACTAAGAACATACCTTATCTAGCCTATAACTTCTACATAGCAATATATGTATAAGTTGACAATTGTACCCTCTACAGTAGAGTTCGATAACCTATCGAGCCTATACAAATATATATATATATATATATATATATTTGACACTCTGGATATTGGTTTTACACTAGTAGTGCTTGCTTGTGGTGTTGACGGTGTCGTGCCATCGCTCAACAATTGCTCAAAGCGAATGTATTGTGAATTTGTGATTGTACTGGACTTCGATTGACGCTGATTTGTGAATTCTTCAGTTGCGGGCGGTATGGCAAAATGGCCTGACTAAATATCCAAGCAGCTTCCAAACCATTTGTACAGTCAATAATATTGCAAGAAATCTCATTTAGTGAGCAAGTCTGGACGGAGCTACCATGCCATAAAACGCACAGGGAACCCCCAACTTGCGCAGTACAATGCATACCCACAAGTCACCCCCCCATAAGCTCAGACGAGTCAATAGGAACCCAGACAGCAAAGGCGAGAGGGGTGGTGGGTGGGCATGGTATTGGGTGGGACTACTATGTAAGGTGGTGAGGCAGGGGATGATACTGCAAGGATAGTATGTGCCGGTTGGAAAGCCGCAGATGATTGCGAGCCAATGGTAGGGCAATGGTAGGAGCAATGGTAGGGCAATGAATTGGCATTGGCGGCAATGGCATGAGGAGCAGCGGAGAGCATGCGCAAGACGAGATGCCTGCCGGTGGTGGGGTCAGGCCCATGGCATGATGATGGCATCTTCTTTGGGATGGGTGGATGGCGGGGGACTGATCACGGTTGCCTAGACTGGTGCACTGGTGGTTGAAGGAAGAATCGGAGAAGTTGTAGGGAGAGACCAGCTTTGTGTGGTGTGTCGGGGGGTGAGGGGATGTGCTGCTGACTGTGGGTAGCAGTTGTGGGCAGTCTGGGACAAGAATGTTTTGCGCATGCCCTACGTGGCATACCATGGGGGTTACTTCAGTGCTGCCACCTGCCACCTGCCACCTCCCCTCAACTCCTCAACTCTCCCCCTCCATCCCCCCCCCCCTCCCTCTCCCTCCCCCAAACACCACTCAAGAAACACCCAGACCACCCTCCCTACCTCCACCTCCCCTCCCTTCTCAATCATCAGCCACAGACTGCAGCACAACAGCAGAGTATCCCAGCAGCGGGTAGAATCCCGCAGCCAGCAGCGGCGCCGACTGCGCAACAGCGATCGCGCGGTCGTGCGCGGGGAGGTCGGGCGAGAGCACGTCGTACGGCGGTGGCTTGCTGGTGTCCACCAGCAGCTGCCACGTGCGCGCGTAGCGGTCAGGGAGAGTGGCCACTGAGGGGAGGTGGGACGTGTTGAACGCCACGTAGAGCTCCGTGCCCTCATCGTCATGCTGGTGTGGGGGGGGAGGGGGGGGGGGGGGGGGGGGGGCGGGGAGGAAGGGAGGGGGGAGGGTTGGGGGGGGGAGGGGGTGTGTTGGTCATCGTCACGCTGCGACCGGGAGGGGGGATGGAGGGAAGGGGGGGTTGAGATGGGAAGAGGGTTGCAAAGAGAGGAAAGGAGACTGACTCCCAGTGGAGTAAGAAGATGTGGGCAGGAAGCATCGAGGGGGAAGCAGGGTGTGACACTGACAGAGAGACATTAAATGTGCGGCACGGCACGGCATGACATGGCATGGCATGGCGTGGCATGGTACAGCATGGGTACGTACAATGGTGAAGGCGATAAATCTGGATGTGTCAGACCAATCGGGGTTGGCGGGGGTCAGGCCGTGCCACTGCAGGTGATGCGCCGTGGGGAAGTCGTCCAGACGGAAACACTTGAACTCCCTGGGGGAAGCAGGGGGGAGAGCGGGAGGAGGGCGGGGGGGGAGGAGCCGAGAAGGGGGGCACGGGAAAGGAATATGAAGGCGGGTGGAGGTGAGAGAGAGTTCGCTATGGCAGTGGGGTGGTCTGAGAACAAGCAGAAAAGAGCATAAGAGGGAAAGCAGGTCGAACTGGGGCTGGCAAGTAAGGGCAAAGGGGCCAAGGGAGTGAGCATGCAGAGCCGGCATGGTTTCTGAGGGGATTTTACAAGCGCCTCAATGAGAGAGAGAAGGAAGGGAAGAGAGCGAGAGAGTAGAGTGGGCGTACTTCCGGAGGGCAGCGACGGCTCTGAAGAAGCGCAGCACACCGGAGGAGTCCTCCGCTGCCCTGTCCCAGTTGAAGTAATTCATCTGCCAGGGGGGGATGGGGGGGAACAGGGGGGTGACGGGGGGGCAGGGGGGACAGGGGGGGCAGGCAGCAAGACGGGGAGTGGGTTAGTGAGCTCGGGAAGGTTTGTGAGGTATGTTGCTGTTGTGGAGTTTCAAGGGCGGAGCAGTCAATAAGGGGGAGAAAGCAGAGAGTGTACATAGAGGGGGATGAAGGGGGTGGGCAGGAAACGTAAGCCACCTGGGAGTCGTGGCAGTAGGTGTTGTTGTTGCCGTCCTTGGTGTGCGCGTACTCGTCTCCCATGTGCACCATGGGCACTCCCTGATACCCGCTCAAGGAGGGGGCAGCAGCAAGAGAAAGGGATGGCGAAGGGCAGGGAAAAAGAAGGAACAAGGAAATGGCAGTGAGAGAAAATGTTTGGGAGGGGGCGTGAGGGGAAGGGGGGAAGAGTGCAGGGGTGGAGTGGGGGGGGCAGAAATAAGGTTTCATCAGGATGTTTCTTGGTGCGGGAAGTCGACGGAGAAGCGAGTGTGTCGTGAGGTGGACAAGGGACGATGGCATGCGAGACGCGTGAAAGGGAAGGAAATGAGAGACGGAGGGGTGGTGCGGCACGGCACCTGGGAGACAAAGAGTGCGAGGATGAAGTTGCGGATCTGCCTTTGCCTCAGCCGCTCCACTGCCACACTGGCTGGCACTCCCTCCTGCTCCACACGAGAGAGAGAGAGAGAGAGAGAGAGAGAGAGAGAGAGAGAGAGAGAGAGAGAGAGAGAGAGAGAGAGAGAGAGAGTTCAGCAATACTAGCCTGTACCCAGGGTTCAGCAATACTAAGGACCGTTTGAGAGAGAGAGAGAGGGGCACATAAGAACGAGTGCACATAAGAGAGAGACACATCAGCATAGCATGGCACAGCACAGCACAACAGCAGCACGGAAAAATAGTGCCTACAACAGGTCAGACGCACAAACGGGTGATACAACCCATTTCTTTCGCCCCATTCGTCTGTCGCTCTTTAGCCATCTCTCCTCCCACCCCCACTCCACCCCTTCCCCCCATATCCCCCATCCCTCTCCCCCTCACCTCCCCGCAGTTCCAGCTGAGGTTGTGCTCCTCGCCGTCCGTGTTGTCGTTGCCGTTGGCCTCGTTGTGCTTGCTCGTGTACGCCACCAGGTCGCCCAGCGTGAACCCGTCATGCGCCGTCACAAAGTTGATGCTGTGCCACGGCCGCCGCCCGCCCGGCTGCACATGAGAGTGCGGTAGGTGAGGGGAGGGGATGGGAGAGGGGAGGAGGGGATGATGACAGACTTGATGATGAAGAGAGGGGAGATGCAGGAGAGTGAACCCGTCGTGCGCCGTCACAAGGTTGATGCTGTGCCACGGCCGCCGCCCGCCCAGCTGTGCCAAGAGAGGGGTGGATAGGGGGGGAGGGGATGTTGACTTGATGAAGAGAAGGGAGGTGCTTGAGTTGGTTGACTGGGGGATGGTAGGCGGGTTGCAATGAGCAATTCAAAGGGGGGGAAGGGGGAGAACGGGCAAAGGGGCGGCATATTGTTGCCTTACCGAATGGAATTGCGACATGGGGGCATGGGGAATGACGAATGGCGTGGCGGCGGACTGACCTTGTAGAGGTTGGGCGAGCCGCAGAGCGCCTCTGCGAACATGCCGATGGTGCCGTCCGTGCCCTTCACAAACTGCCGCACTGCGTCCCGGTACTGGGGGGAGGGAGGGATGGGAGGGATAGATGGGAGGAGGGGTGGAGATGGATGGGAGAGGAGTAAGATTGGAGGTGGAGGGAAAGGACGGGTAGAGAAGACGGAAAAGCGAAAAGTGAGCGATTGAACGCATGGAACGCATGGAACGCATGCAATGGAATGCAGGCAACTGATGCTTGATCTTTGATTCTTGATTCTTGATAGTTCCAGGGGCAGAGGAAGTCAACGAGGTGGCAGCACCAGCACCAGCACCAGCACCAGCACCAGCACCCATCCATCCGGGCAGGAGAGTGGGCTGTACCTGGCCGTTCCACTCGGCCCACACGCCCCAGTGGGGGAAGTTGCCAACCTGGTACAGACCCCCCGCGTCCCATGCCTCCGCTATTAACTGCCGCGAAGGGGGAAAGGGGAAGGGATGTTGCACGAGGGGGAGAAGGAGGGGGAAGAGATAGAGGGGAGGGAGTTGGGATGGATAAAACGGCATGTGGTTCACAGGGAGAGTGAAGAGTGCGCGTGTGTGTGTGTGTGCAGCTGATATAATAGACGAGAGCAGTCACACCACAGCACACCACAACACACCACACCACCACACCAGCCATGATCCACTCCACACCAGCCACATCCCGCTCCTCTACCAAGCCTCCAACCCCTCTCTATCCATGCCCGCTCACAGTCCCCACTCTCTTCTTGTTCCCCCTTCTGCCCACCTTAACGTCGCGCAGCATGGGGTCGTTGGAGATGGCGTCAATCAGCAGCGGCTCTGCCAGTGGCAACCCCGATCCTGGTCCCCTCTCCTCTCTTCCTCAGGCCCCAGACCCCCCAGTCTCCATACCCCTCCTTTCCCTCTTTCCTCCCCATCACCTTAACATCGCGCAGCACGGGGTCGTTGGAGATGGCGTCGATCAGCGGCGGCTCTGCCAGCGGCGACCCCGTGGTCACGCCGTCGCCCTCCTCGCCACTGCTCTCGCCGCTGCTGCCCCCGCCGTCCATGCTGGTGCCATACACGTTGCTGCGGTCCCACAGACTGTAGAAAAGAGGGGAAGGGAGGGGGAGGGGGGCGGGAAAGAGGTTAGCTTGAGGCACCTCGTGCCGCTGCTGCCCCCGCCATCCGTGCTGCTGCCGTACACGTTGCTGCGGGGTGGAGGGATGGGAGGGCAGGGCAGGGCGAGGGGAGGAAAGGTTATTCAGAAGGCAACTGAATATTTGCAGTGGAGTACACGAAGAGGAGAAGGGAGGTGCAGAGGGAAGTGGGACAGGAGAGAAGAAAGAGGAAGGTGATTGGGTGGGTAAGAAGAACTGGTGCATGAAGTGCAAAGATAAGCTATGCAGGACGGCAGGGGTGCTGGCTGCACGGAAGGAGGGGCTAGGAGGCGAAAGGAAGGGGAGGGAGGGGGAAGGAGGTAGAAAGGAGGGGGCAAGCACCTGGAGGAGCGGGTGAGGATGGCGGCGAGGTCGAATCGGAAGCCGTCCACGTGCATCTCCTGCACCCAGTATCTGCCGGACACGGGCGGGGGGGGGAGGGATGAGGGCATACAGGTGCGCATACGGAGAGTTGTAGACAGGCTGAGGAAGGGGGGGGCGGGAGAACGGGGTAGAGGGTGGTGCTTCGAGAGAGAAGCACGAGAGCAAAGAAATAGAGGTGGAATGTGGAGAAAGTGCCATTTGACGCAAGGGGTGGAGGGGAGCGGGGGATGGGGGGAAGGGGGGTGGAGGGAGAGGGATGTTTGTGTTGCTGGTGAGGGGGACAGTGGCTGTGCCCCCAAGAAAGTGAGAATATGAGGGAGGGAGGGCGATAGGGGCGGCCGTGGTGGTGGTTGGTGATAGTATCTGTCTCACCTGAGGCAGTCGACGATGAACTTGCGCACGACCGGGTGGTTGCAGTTGAAGGTGTTGCCACAGCCCGAGTAGTTGTAGAACTCGCCCTGCCGCGCACACACCGCCACACCACGCACGCACACACACGCAGCGAGCAAGCAGCACAAGGGAAGAGGGAAGAGTCTCAGCACAGCGCGCACACAGGAGGAGAAGCAGGGACATGGGCAGCAGAACCAAAGTTCCATAAGAGAACACAGCAGCACCCAGCAAACCGTAGAGGCAGCACACAGACACAGCACACCACACGTCCAGCAGTGGCAGCAGCAGCAGCACACACATAGCTGGGGAACAGTGTGCCACAGCACAGAGCACAGCACACCACATCCTGTTGGGGGCACGCCACTGCCCTCCTCTAGTGCCTCACCATGGGCGCAGTCATATAAAACACGTGGTTGTCGATACCCCACAGAGCCACAGCACATAGTTCACTGGGAAAACCCCGCACCACCCACCATGGGAGCTGTCATGTAGAACATGCGGTTGTCGATCCCCCTGAACGTGAGAGTAGGTCCCAGCTCGTTGCCCTCAGCCGTGTGGTTGAACACCACGCCCAGGATGACCTCGATGCCGTGGCGGTGGCATGGCAATCATCCCCACACCACGCACGCACCATGTCCTTGAACCCGCGCCCCTCTGACCGTGGTCCACACACTCACTCTCACACATCTCTGCCTCGCACATACACAGACAGAGCCACAGCACACGGCTCACGGCTCACAGGGCCAGCAGCAACCCACAACGCACCATGGGAGCTGTCATGTAGAACACGCGGTTGTCGATCCCCCGGAACGTGATGGTCGGTCCCAGCTCATTGCCCTCTGCCGTGTGGTTGAACACCACGTCCAGGATGACCTCGATGCCGTGGCGGTGGCACGCGCGCACCATGTCCTTGAACTCGCGCACCGCCGCCCGCCCGCACTCCACGCTGCCTGCTGCTGCGTAGCGGATCATGGGGGCGAAGTACCCCACCGTGCTGTAGCCCCAGAAGTTCATCCTACAGGGGCGGAATGGGCAGGGGGGGAGGAGGAAAAAGAAGCATGGATTGGGAGGGAAGAAAGGCATGGGGAACAGGTAGGTTGAGGGAGAGATTCCCCAGCGCCTGCACGTGCAGCAGCTTAGCCACGAGCACCTGAACAAGTAGGTTGGTTTTGAGACGTCTCAAATCCAGCCTGCACGTGCAGCAGCTTTTCCACGAGCTCCTGAACTCCTTCCCTCCCCTCCCCCACACCCCCACGCCACAGGAACAGTGTAGCACTCACTTGTAGTCGTTGGTCATGGGGTTGTACTCGTAGTACTCCAACTCATTAAACCTCGTGCATGGGCAGCAGCTCGACAGCAGTGACCCCCAGCGCATGCAGGTACGGCAGCTTCCCCACGAGCCCTTACCTCCCCCCCCCCCCCCCCCTTCCTCACACATGAGCACTCACTTGTAGTCGTTGGTAATGGGGTTGTATGCATAGTACTCCAACTCATTAAACTCATGGGTCGGCAGCAGCTCCACGGCAGTGACCCCTAACGCCTGCAGGTACGGCAGCTTCTCCACGAGCCCCTGGTACGTGCCCGGGTGCTGCACGCCGCTGCTGCCGTGCCGCGTGAAGCCGCGCACGTGCGCCTCGTAGATGACCAGGTCCTTCATGGCGTGGCGCGGAGGGGTGTCGCCCTCCCAGTCGTACTGACGAGGTGGGGGGGAGGAGGACGTGATGGGACGGACAGGACAGGTGGGAAGAGGAGGAAGGGGGCGAGGGGACGACGAGGAGAGGATTTCCTCGGACACCACTGAAAACCACGCCACTTCGATACGACGCAGGAATGGCCGCAATGGCAGCAATGGCCGCAATGGCAGCAATGGCCGCAATGGCACCGTCACACTCCCGCCTTATCCTTGTCCCCATCCCCACCTGGTCATCACCCTCATTCATCCCCATGCCGTCCCCACCCCATCCGCTCCCCACCCCATCCGCTCCCCACCCCATCCGCTCCCCACCCCATCCGCTCCCCACCCCATCCGCTCCCCACCCCATCCGCTCCCCACCCCATCCGCTGCCCACCCCATCCGCTCCCCACCCCATCCGCTGCCCACCCCATCCGCTGCCCACCCCATCCGCTCCCCACCCCATCCGCTCCCCACCCCATCCGCTCCCCACCCCATCCGCTCCCCACCCCATCCGCTCCCCACCCCATCCGCTCCCCACCCCATCCGCTCCCCACCCCATCCGCTCCCCACCCCATCCGCTGCCCACCCCATCCGCTCCCCACCCCATCCGCTCCCCACCCCATCCGCTGCCCACCCCATCCGCTCCCCACCCCATCCGCTGCCCACCCCATCCGCTCCCACCCCATCCGCTGCCCACCCCATCCGCTCCCCACCCCATCCGCTCCCCACCCCATCCGCTGCCCACCCCATCCGCTGCCCACCCCATCCGCTCCCTCGTCGTCATCGGCATCCCCCCGTGCTCACCTCGTCGTCCTCCTTATGCGGCACCATGCCCGCCATTTGCGGCCAGCACTCGCCGCCTGGCGCCACCTCGCCGTACGTCTCGCGGCTTAGCACGGCCTGCGATCACAGAAAGGGGGGGCGCGCGGAGAGGGAGGGGAGGGGAGGGGAGGGGAGGGGAGGACGAGGTGCGGAGGAGAGAGGAGACAGGGGGTAAGGTAAGGACGGCAGCAGCTGGGCTGGGGAACGAAGGGGAAGGGGAAGGGGAAGGGGAAGGGGAAGGAAGGGGGCGATACAGGAGGGGAAGGGATGAGAAGGGGGGAGCGGGCGCGGGGGGGTTGGGGGGAGAGGAGGCGCGGAAGGAAGAGATGAGAGGAAGCGAGGGGGATGGGTGTGGCAGGGCGAGGCAGAGGTGAGGCGGGGAGAGACGGGGAGAGACGGGGCGAGGCAGGAGGCAGGAAGGAGCGGCGGGGCGACCTTGGCGTAGGGGTCGAGGACGATCTTGGAGGCGTCGAAGCGGTGGCCTTTCTGCGGCGCGAAGGGCCCGTCGATGCGGTAGCCGTAGAGCAGGTTGCGCGAGAGCGCCGGCAGGTAGATGTGCCACACGTCGCCTGTGCGGTTCAGAATCGGGTGCAGAGGCACCTCCGCGCTCGGCTTGCCCTGGGGGGAGATCGGGGGAGAAGCGGAGCATCAGAGGGGGACAGGGGAGCATCAGGCGGGGGAGGGGGAGCATCAGAGGGGGAATGGGGAGCGAAGGGGAGGAGATGAGAGCTTGGACAGGAGATGGGGCATTCCGCGAGGGAGATGACGCACGGGGAACTCAAGGGGCGAGACTCGACAGGGGAAATCTCAACATTGAGATTTCGACGCATAGATTCAACAAGCAAATCTCGACGTGGGGATTACAGGTGCTGAGCCTTCGCTGAGAACAAGCGCTGCCATGAAAATTTCACGCTGGGCTGGCCTAGTCCTCTTCGATCCTCTCCTCTGCTGCCTTCCTCTCGAACATGCGCTACCTGTCACTCGATCCGCATCGCGGACTCGTCAAATCCATACCGTTTTCTCGCTTTGAGTCGACTCAAAAGCAGACATGCGCTACCTGCCACTCGGTCCTCATCGCGGACTGGTCAAATCGCCTACCATTTTCTCGCTACCAGCTAAGCCAATCGCGTGCCACCAAATGCCTTCAAGCGAATTAACGGCCGAACTTTTGATCGATGACCACACCACCTCCTATCCAGCTCGCGATTAATATCCCCCCATTGCTCCGCACCTGCGCCAGGCCTTTTGGGGTGAACAGGCACACCGACACCGCGGTGGCGCCGGACGAGTGAACGGCCAACATCTGATCGATCATCACACCACCTACTATAAGCTCGCGAAAAAAAAAACCCCATGGCTCCCTACCTGCGCCAGGCCTTCCGGGGTGAAGAGGCACACGGACACGGCGGTGGCGCCGGACGAGTGGACCGCGAAGTTCACGCCGTTGTCGACGGCCGTCGCGCCGTACGGCGTCGCGGATCCGCGCTGCGGCGTGTCGTACAGCACGCCGTGCCCGCTCCCGAAGTCGCGCTCCGCCATGCGCCGCACCGTCGCCGCATCGCGCAGGAACGACGGTGGCTCGTACAGCACCGCGCTCGGCGGCTTCGCGACACGTGGCGTTGCGACACGTGTCCTCGGGTGAGAGGATAATGGCGACGTGGATGCAGGAATCACGATCTTGGAATTTCCTGGAATCAGGGCGCCGCCATGCGAGGCCGATGAGTCTAAGAATGGTGAAACTAGGGGTATTTTAGAGAGGCGATTCGGGCCGCCAGAAAGCGAGACCGGGTTGACGGCAGAGTTGACGGCTGAGCGACAGCCCAGCAACGGGCCGTCCATGGGGAGCGACGCGATAATTGGGGCAATATCACCAGATCCGGGATCCTGATTCGTCACGGGAATATCTTAAATCTGGTAGCGACCGCCAGACGCGGCGATCGCAACGATCCTCGCCGCACCACTCGCTTCGACTTCACTCGGTCCTTTCGTGGAAGCCTTAGGCTGGCCTGTCGGCTTAGCCTTCAGCGGAATGCGGAAAAGCTGAAATTCCACGAGCAACGCAAGCCGAATGCGAGGATTTGAGAATTGAGCAGCAAGACTGCGAGCATTTGACAAAACGGAGAGGCGGTGGTGAAATTCGAGCCATTGTCGCTGGCAATTGGGAGTGGGCACTGCAATACTGTTCGTACAAAACGATGATGGCGGAGTGGATTGGAGGGAAGGGAGCATGGGAGTGGGCAGGTCAGTTACAGGCAGATGTGTGGGTGGAAGGGAGGAGGGGGGAGCGGATGCAGTGGGGGAGCGGGCTTGGGCAGGATGCAAAACACCAACCTTTCTTCAGACTGTACAGTTTTGGAGGTCTTCTCAGCTCAAAACAACCCACTGTAAAACTCCAGTATTGGCTCCGGGCAAAAAGGAAATGTGTTACTTTTGGCAAGGGCTGGATCTGGATGTCTTTCCAGCCCTCAGGGGTAGCCTTTTTGCTGTGGCCCACTGACCTCACGCGGATGCAGCAGGCAGTTGGATCCTAGCCGCGCCGAGCCCCAAAAAAGAGCTCAAGTCGTGAGCGGCCCAACTAGAGGCTCTCCGCGAATAGGCGAGACTGAGCGATTCAACGACTGCCACAATGTGAAATTAGCGGGTGAGCGACTAATGAATCCGACATCGCCAAGGCCTTGACGAATCGTCAGCGAACCTCCTTGCGACGACTGTCACAACTTTATCTGGACGCTGATGTCTTCGCGCGTGCGTATGAGTCAACCTGCTTCATCTTCAAGAGCAAACTTGGCCAGCCAACCGTCTTCAACTATTAACCGTCGATGGACCGAATTCCCACTTTTCACGCCGTTGATCTAATGGACCACGTCATTACCAACAGAATGCAGCCAAGCCAGAGTGCCACTGGGATGTCTGGAGGAAACGCTCCGGGCTTTTCATGACGTGGAGAGCTTGAAAAGACCAGTAGATCGACGCACTGCCACCACAGCATGGCTTGACCAGTGAAAACGAGTGGTACGGGTAGGGTGCGTGCGCCATGCTGGAAGCTGCCACGCTCACCAACCCAAAAGAACTGATCAGATCACGTCTCTAAGGGGGACGTTCTACGTGTGTTCACCTCATACACAACACAACATAGGGCGTCAAGAAAAAGACATTAACACACCTTAGTTTGTCACTCACCACAAAACAAGCACTGCTCAAATGCGTGTTGGGTAAGAGTTCTCCATTTCCAGGTGTGAGAACCTTAGAAACCATGAATAACTGTTATTGGAAATACCTCAAGGACTTAAACGTTTCTGAAGTGTAACACCACGCTCGAGTGAAGCCGTATCGAGTATGCGAGTTAACGGAGGTTACACGAGGAGGTTGGACAAAAGAACACGAAAAGACGAGAGAAAAACGTTTCTTCAAATGTATTCTATAACTGCTTTGCTTTCCTATTTTCTATATATTACTGTATGCTTGTTTCCTTTAGTCAATCACTTGCTCTCATATACTAGTGCAAGGGTTCAACTACTTAACTTCCGCTGCACTACTCAAGCATCCTTGTACAACTGGGACTTAGTCTCTGAAAGATCCTAAGGACATTTTCTTGTCAAACATGTGTAGTTATCATGTTTGTATAGACTGTATAGGGTCACCTTCTAGAGAGTACAACATTTACGTATATGTTTGTGTACACTCTCTCTCTTATTATTAAAATTCTAGGTTTGATATGGTATCACGAGTAGGTTTCGACCCCCCCCCCCCACCTACCGCTTCCGCTCCTCCCGTCGCGTCTCCCAGCCTTGCATGTAATGTATGCCGATGACTCTAGTGTGCTTCCCTCTTATTACCCCGTGTTGCCTAGTGTAGCTGTGCCTAGCGTAGACTCCCCTGCTGCGTCAGGCGTAGGATCTCCTGCTTTGCTTAGCCTCGGTGCTTCCACCGCTTCACTGTCGCCCCGCGCGACTGCTGCGCTTTCCTTCACCTTGGACTCTGGCGCCTCCCGGTGTTTCTTCCGCGACTCCACGACGCTGACGCCGCTGCCTGTTCCCGCTGCAGTTACTCTTGCTGACCCCTCCGGTGGTCCCGTCGTTGCCCGCAGTTCCACCTCCCTTCCCTGTCCGGCGGTTCCTTCAGGTTCGCTCACCGGTCTGCATATCCCCTCGTTCTCCAGGAACCTAGTTGGTGTCGGCTGCCTCCAGGACCTTGGCGTCACCACTACGTTCCCTGGTCACGAGCGGTATGCTGTCTGTACCGAGGCCGCCACTGGTGCCCCCCTGTCCACGTTCCCCCGGGACCCGGTGTCCGGCCTGTTCACACTTGACACCGCGACGTCCCCGGCTGAGTCTTCCCCCCAGGTAGCTGCGTCCACCCAGGTTGCTGCTGCGTGCTCCTGTCGGTCCCTCACTCACCCGACTCTCCTTTGGCACCACCGCCTTGGTCACCCTGCACTCCCGCGTCTGCGTCACATGTCCCAGCACGGTCTCGTCCTTGGTCTCCCCGGTTCGTTCCCTGAGTTTCCCTCATCCCCCACCCCACCGTGCACGCCTTGTGTCGAGGGCCGGCTCCGCCGTGCCCCTCACTCCTCCTCGTTTCCCCCTACCACCGCACCCCTGCAGACTCTGCACATGGACGTCTGGGGCCCAGCCCCGGTCCATGGGCCGCGTCGCGAGCGCTTCTTCCTAGTGCTTGTCGACGACTTCACACGTTACACCACCGTCTTTCCCCTGGAGCGGAAGGCCGACGTGCCTGACGTTCTCATCCCCTGGCTTGTCTCTGCTCGTCTCCACCGCGGTCTCCCTGCCTTGCGCCTCCACTACGACCGGGGTGGCGAGTTCGCCTCAGGTGTCCTTGGTCGCTTCCGTCGTGCGGAGGGCATCACCCAGACGTTTACCCTGCCGGACTCCCCGCAGCAGAATGGGGTCGCTGAGCGACGCATCGGTTTGGTCATGGAGGTGGCTCGCACCTCCATGATCCACGCCGGTGCACCCCATTTTCTGTGGCCGTTCGCCGTGCGCTACGCCGCTCACCAGCTTAACCTGTGGCCGCACCCCCAGCGGCCGCAGGTTTCGCCGACCCTTCTGTGGACCGGGTCCCCTGGTGACGCGTCTGCGTTCCGCGTCTGGGGCTGCCTTGCTCACGTTCGTGCCTCTGGCACGGACAAGCTCACTGCCCGCACCCTCCCCTGCGTCTTCCTCGGTTTCCCCCTTGACGCGTCCGACTGGCACTTCTACCACCCGCCGTCTCACCGTTTCTTTCACTCTCGCGACGTCACCTTTGACGAGTCCGTCTCCTTCTTCCGCCGCTTTCCCCACCGTGGTCCCCCGGTTACTCCCCCCCTGTTCCTGGTTCCTCCCTCCCTGGTGGCCCCTGCCCCTCCCCCCCCCCGCCCCCCCGTCCGGCCCCCTCTGGTGTGTCTCACGTCACCCCCCTCCCGTCGGTCGTTCCGGTCGACGAGTCTTCTGACTCTGGTAGTCCTTTGGCGCAGTCCTCGCCGTCTGTCCCTCCCCCGGTGTCTCCTCCTCCACCGCCTCCGCAGCCGCCGTCGCCGCAGCTGCTGCAGCCGCCGCCGCCGCCGCCGCCGTCGTCGCTGCCGCTGTTTGTGGACTCTGGGGGTGCTGGAGTTGAGGTGGGTACTCGTCCCGGGGCTCCTGTCGTGGCTTGTCCCCGCGGGCCTGGGGGTGGTACCGGTGCTGGCGGTGTCTCGGGCTCTGGGGGTGTCCCTTCTGGGGGTGCCGGTGTGGAGGGTTCGGGAGGTAGCCGTCGCGCAGCTTGTGGCCCTGGCGTTGGTGTTGTGTCGACGCAGCAGCAGTCCCCGCCGGTGTCCGCCCTCCGTTTGCTCGGCCTTCCGTCCCCTGACCCTGCGCCTGTTCCTCTCCGGCCGTCTCCCCCTCTTCCCGTCTACGGCCCCGTGTTCCCTCCGCCGGACTCGTCCCCGGCTCGTTTTCCCCCTCGCTCCCCACCCGTGTCCCCTCCTCTGTCTCCTGACCCGACGCCGCCCTCTCACGTCTGGTCTCGCCGCCCCTCCCGTGCTCGTCCTGTCTCCCCCGTCCCGCGCTCTCACCCTATGTTGCTCCGCTCCCACGCGTCTCGTCCTCCCCTCCTCCCGTCTCCTCCTCCGTCCTCTCTTGTCGTTGCGTCTCCTCCTCTGTCTGACTACTTTCGTGCCGCTCGTCCTCTTGTTCCTCGGGTCCTTGCCTCTCTCGTTACCGACCCGTCTGTTCCAGTGTCGAGTCTTGACGCCCTTGTCGCTGCGGTCGCTGACTTCGCCTCTACCCGCCGCCTTGACTACGCCTCCGCTCTGGTCTCTGACCCTGCCTGTCCTCCGTCTGTCGGGGGTGCTCCTGCCCTCGGCAGTGACGTCCTGGAGGACCGCCAGTTTGAGCTTGCTTTCCTGTCCGAGGCTGCTCCCCATCTCTGTTCCATGCTGCTAGTCCCTGAGGGTGACCCAGACGCTTTTGACATCCCGACCCCTCGTACTTACGCTGAGGCGGTTTCGGGACCTTGGGCCTCTCAGTGGATAGCTGCCATGGAGCAGGAGATGGCATCTTGGAGATCCACCGGCACCTTCGTCGACGCAGTTCCCCCACCTGGGGTGAACGTGGTCGATGGCCGTTGGCTCTTCAAGGTGAAGCGCCCTCCTGGAGAGCCGCCTGTGTTCAAGGCGCGTTACGTGGCTAGAGGCTTCAGTCAGCGCGAGGGGGTGGACTTCTTTCAGACTTTCGCTCCTACCCCGAAGATGACTACTCTTCGGGTTCTGCTACACGTAGCGGCCCAGCGTGACTACGAGCTTCACTCCCTCGACTTCTCCACTGCCTTTCTTCAGGGCAGCCTTCACGAGCAGGTCTACCTGCGTCGTCCTCAGGGCTTTACTGGCACCTTCCCCCCTGGGACCCAGTGGCTTCTGCGGCGCCCAGTCTACGGCCTGCGCCAGGCGCCTCGTGAGTGGCACGACACGCTGCGTGCTACGCTTGCTGACCTGCAGTTCTTTCCGTCCTCTGCAGACCCCTCGCTCTTCGTTCGTGCTGGCTCGACTCCGTTCTACATCCTCGTCTACGTAGACGACCTGGTCTTTGCCACAGCTGACAGGGACGCACTGGCCTCCGTGAAGGCAGAGCTGCTGAAGAGACACACCTGCACTGACTTTGG